CAGGAAAAGCTACCATCCTTGCTGCACAAAAGGGAAAATACAGCTCAGGTACTTTGGGGCAGTGGCCTTGGATTCTTTTGGATAGGAGTCTCTCCCTCTCAGAGAAGCTGGGTGGGCCTGGAGGCAGCCAATCAGTGTGTGGGAGTAGGAAGAGGTGCAGTGGTGGCTGGGCATCCCAGATGCTGAGGCGGGCAGGTTTACAGGAATGTCTCTCACTGAATCTTGCTCCTCTCTACCAGAGTGGTCCTTGGGTTAGCAGTTCGCAAGTGCGGCAATGCCGGCCGGCCGGGGCTTTCCTAGAGAACTCAGCGTGTGTCCCCCAAGTGTGCCTGCAGGCCCTAGGGTCTGACCTGCTACAGACCATCAGCTAACATAGGACGTGAAGGGCCGGCACAAACATGCAAGTCAGACAACTGCCTAGGTAAACTGTCAAATTCTTCACATGAAGGAACAACATGGCTGATGCCCTATGTGGATGGGCCTCAGAAAAGAAGGAACATTGGAGTGACATGGAGAATGAGAAGAAGTCTCTTTTGGTCTTGAGACTGGGCTTACCAGAGTTTCTGCAGAAGTAGAAGCTCAAAGTGGGAGTCTGGGGGCAGTTAAGAACTAAGAAAATAGACTGGGCCTTGAGGACAGAGAACTGGTTACAGCCTGGAGTTCCCAACAGCTGGCTGCATGAAGCATGTCGTTTTCTGTAACACTAGCCACACACCAACATGCACAGCTATGTAAAAAATGATGTAGCATCAGGTACATGAGTATAGATCCATGAGGTTCTGACGGCTGCCATCCAGCTCCTGGGACCTAAGGCTATCACCTGGAGGAGCCCTAACTGGGCATGTACCCCAGCAACTGCCATAGCCCTCCAAACCTGGGTCCCGAGTCTGTGGCTGGACCCTGCTTACCCAGACCCTCTGTTCAGCCTCAGCCTCTTCCTGGCTGGGGGTTGAGCAGGAACAGCTCAATCAGGATATAATCGTTTTTAATTAACATGCGGATCATTTCACAGGCTGATCTCCTTGGAGACCACAAGGAAGACGGTCTTCTAAGCTTTTCTCTCCTTTTGCTCTCCCAGTGCCCCCTCCCAGCAACAGCCATACTTCACTTTTACCCCCATCTACAACCCTGAGAACTGCACAAAAGCCTGGCTCCTGGGTCTCCAGGCCTTCAGGAGGAAGTATGTGCTCACAACCATACACATACACAACTGTGCACCCCCACCCCCACATTCTGTCCAAGATGTGTCCCCCACAGGAGGGCACACAGACGTGTGTCCAGACTGGAATATGTATGTGGAGGCAGATGGGTCACAAGTTGGTTTACATGGTGAGATTCCCTGTCTCAAAACATAAACAAGAGGGGAGGAGGATTAGAGGCACACACAGCATACCTCAAAACACGACACAGAGATGAGCACTCACCTGCACAGACATACCACACAAACCTCCACATGTCCATAGTCAGCACAGTTTCAACATTCGGGGCTGAAGTGCTGGTAGGGGAGAGACAAAAAGGGCCCTGTCTTCGGGTGGGGAGTCGGCAACCACAGCTGCCTGCTACAAGGGTCTCTGGGTCTGGGTACAACATGTCTGGGGTCAGAAGGACTTAAACCACATAAGTGTCATATGGGGCCCAGGCTGGTGGCTTCTCTGTCCCATTCCCGATGGAGGTGATAGAGCAACACTCAGCCCTATCTAGCTAGCCAAGGTGCCCAGCACTAGCTAGCCTGACATTCCCACTGGGACTACTATCTTAGCCTTTCCTCTGGGTACCGGATTCTGAGGCCACAGAACTTTCTCTTTACTTCCTTCATTTGACCTGAATCTCTTCTATCCCATTTCTCTTTCTTCCTTCCTCCATTCTCTTCCGCCCAACTCCCTTCCCATTTTGGAATCACTGTTTCATCTGTTTCTTTTCCTTCCTGTCATCTCAGACGTCTAGAGTCAACCTCAGGTCAGAAGGAGAACTCTAAATTCTAACCCATTCCAGACACCATACATCTGATAGGTGCTAAACTCCCCCAGCTCCTAACAGACCACAGCTAGATCTCTGAACTTGGAGCCTGAGGTATAAAGGCAGGAAAATGACCACATGGGGCCTGAACTCAGCCCTACCCGTCTTGGAGCACCTGCTTTTGACCCTCAGCTTTTCCCTTTGGAAAATGAGATGAGAAAGGCGAATAAGCTCTGGGGAGAGTTAACAGGCAGCCTGTGGTCAGCCAACCTTAGGCTGGTGACTTGGGTAGTGACCCTGGACCCATTAGCACAGCAATGTACATGGCACAGAGGTTAGGAGCCTATTTGCTACTGATCCAGCTAGAGACAGCAGGGACAAGCTGAATGGTTCTCCCCACCTGGTCTCTCATCTATGAAATGGGCAAGCTCAGCTTAGGATTCTCCCCAGATACAACAACTCAAATACCAGATCAGTAGCAGGTTCTTGATGTGTGACCTTGGGACTCATTTCCCCTCTGGGCTCTGGTATCCTCTTATGTCAAAATAGGGAGGTCAGACCAGTGACTCATTGCCAGGGTTCTTTTCAGCACTAGAAGTTTCTAGATAGTAGAGAAGAAGAACAGTGTCCTACTTAGCCCAAGAAAGCTAGAGAAGCCTGTTTTTTCCACTCACCACGGGCATGCTGGAGTCTTTCACGGTGGAGGCAAGCAGCAGTGGCATTTTGAGGAAAGCACCTTAAACATCAGAAAAGGCTCTCTACACAAAATATACCCAACTATATCACTTGTTCCAGGATATGGAACAAAGGGCAGTATTAAGCAAATTACAGCAAATCCACTTGACTGGAAAAGCCTGAAGATGTTAACATTGGTGTTTATGAAGAACTGGTTACAAGACAGGAAAAGGCTGGTATTATCAGCCAAAAAAAAAAAAAAAAAAAAAAAAAAGCAGGATATACATCTAAATATGGACAACTCAACAAAGCCTTTAAAATCACCAACCACCAAAGCCAACATGTGGGAAGAGACATACCAACATGTGAGCACTGTCAGAGCCCATTAAGACACTCACTAATCTGTTTTTCTCTATTTTTCAGAGTACTTTGCAAACTGTATTATAACATATATGTCAAAAAATACCTTTAAGAGATGACCTGCTGCTTCCAGTCCCATTCACTCACCGATTCACTCATTAATCATTCACCCCTGTGTTTGTCTAGCCAAACAGCAAACAGTATTGTCTGCAGTGTGCCTGGCTCCGAGGTTCTGAGACTAGCTTTGCCTACAGGAATGGAGGTCATGTCCGGGGCAGGGGACCTAGCCCCTCCTGTGCTGTATTCCCAGCCTTCCTTCATCACACACACACACACACACACACACACACACACACACACACACAACTCTCCACGGTGCTTGTGCCCCGAGGTTGAAGAGTAGGTAGCAACAAACCTGGAAAAATGAAACCCTGTTTCCCAGAGCCCTCATCTCCAGGCTGTCTCAACTGCTAAATGTCAGTCTACCCTGGCGTCAGAAAGTCACTCTACAAGAGCCAGCTACAAGACTCCACTCTTCAGCTGTCAGGGTGAAGGTGTGGGTGTGGGTGAGGCAGAGGGTCAGAAAGGTCTTCTTCCTAAACCCAGCCCCCATGATGACATCCCTCCCAGTTCCCATGACCCAGGCTTGTAACCTCTTCCCCTTGCGCCACAAGGACACAGCTTGGCTGCCCGACCCTCTCCAGGCTCTGACTTGGGTCTCCTATAAGGTCCCTAAACAAGGAACCAGCATGCCTCCTGCTCAGCGAGTGGCAGAGACTGCAGCTGCCATCAACAGGGAATGCAGGGTCTGGATCTGCAGTCCCAGCCAGGCAGTAGCATGCTGTTAGTATGAAGGGGCTAACTACGTTTCTCTGTTGTTTAGGGCCTGGCAATTTCTGGGGGAAGGTTAACTCTTTGGGTTCCTGGACTCAACCACAGAGCAGTCTAAAGACAATCCAGTCCCCTAACTCCAAAGGTGTCTCCTTACTCCCCGCCGGAGCCCTGTCTCTAGGGAGAGAGGTGACCAGTTAGCCTATGGTATCTGGACCCCAGCTCTCTTGCCTCTGAGCTGCTCAACTAGGAATCTATCAAAGCTGGGGTTCACAACCCCAGCTAGCCCCACACTCCTCCACAAACCCAAAAGTGAAAAGATCTGACAGTTTAGGGTGCCAAGGCTCTGATCCAGAGGTTTCCCCTTGGAGCTGAGCCCTCCCCCTTTCTGGACTGCAGTCCCCAGGAATTCCTCAGGATAGACCTCCTTCCCCTCCGGCACTAGTGTGGAAAGGAACTGTTCCTACCACTCCCCTCACCCCTCAGTAGCCCTTCACCCCATTTCATCCCAGGGAGAGGTGCAGGCATCAGATCTCTGGGTCACCAGAGCAGTGGTGTCTGCTGTGGATTTCAGGAAGCCAAGCACTTCGTCACACAAACACATCACCTCCGGGATCACCTCTCAGCCTGCAATGTACAGGAGGGGAGGAGGCTGAGGTTAGAGCGGCCCTTCTACGTGCCCAAAGGCATCAGCCAATCGTCAAACCCGAGCAGGCAGACTCCACAACCCAGCCAGTGCACCCCAACTCTCCCTGCTGGGCACCCCTACTTATCTCCTCTCTACACCACCAGTGGTAACCTCTCTATCCCAAACAGGAAGAAAGGGGGCCTCCCTTCCCCTGCCTAGAGCCCAGGGGTCAACAGTCACAGGAGAGGCTGAGTCATGACCCCTGCCCCTCACTGCAAAGGCATTAGATTTTATTGTCAGGTTGGTCACTCGGCTGTTTTGTCAGGCGGGTGCAGGACAGAGGGCACTCTACAGGGGATGAGGAGGGGTATCTAGGGGAAGTGTTTGAAGCTGATCAGTCCATCAGATCCGGAAGCTGTCGGGAAGGGGGGGGGGTCGACCTTAAACGCTCCAAGGCTGAGAGGAGGGGCCACAGTAGCGCCCAGAGGCGCCAGGGAACTGTCCCCCCCGGGAGACAGCACTCTCGGGAAGTTTCTCACTGGTTGCTCACAGTAGGACCGGTGCTCGAAACGCCCTCCCAGGCCACACCAGCTTCCGGACACAGATTGCGAACTTGTGATGAACTCCTTCCTTCTCCAGCATCCCCATCTGCGGCCACCCGCCGCGACATCTCAGCCCCAATTCTTCCACGGGTAGCTCGGTCGCCGAGACCGCTCACCAAGGCATTGTGGAGCAAAAGGGAGGGGAGAATCCCCATCACAACCTAACTGCTGCGGCCATTAAAAAAAAAAGAAAGAAAGAAAGAAAAGAAAAGAAAAGAAATTCCTTCTCCTAGACTGATCCCCTCCACCCACATGGAAAACCTCCAAACACGCAAACCCGCAACTCCAACAAGGATCGCGGCGCGGTGGGAGGGGTGCCCGCGGCGACCCCCATCAGCAGCCCCGCTGCAGGTCAGAGAGCGGCGGCGGGCCGGGATTCAGGGAGCCCTCGCCCGGAGCAGCCCGCCTAAGACACAAAGCTCCGCCGCCAACAATACCTGCGGGCTCCTCCTGGGTCTCGGGGCGCCGGCGCGGCGCGTCTCGTAGTCTCCCTTTTCTCCTGCCGTCTCTCTGCTATGGTGCACTCTCCCCCTCGCCTCTTCCAGTACCCGACGGCCAGATGAGATCCTTGGGAGAAAAAAATGTGAGCGCTCACACGATTCCTTTCTCTGCGCGCCGCAAGCGGCGGCGCTGGGCTCGCTCCTCTCTTTCGCGCTCCCGTGCGCGCCGCGCCTCTCTAGCCCCTCGCTTCCTGCTCAGCAGCGCCTGCGAGTGCCCTCAGTAGCCATTATTCACTGGCCGCCGGGGGACAGGAGGTAATTAGAGACGGCCTTGTGGCCACATCCACTGGGCTAGCACGATGCGGGCGAAGGGCGCGCGCGGGGAGGGGCACGCGACAAGGGGGCTTGGCTGCGCGCAGCCCGCGCCCCAGACGCGGAGGAGGGGAGGAGAGGGAGGGGGCAGGGAGGAGGAGTGGTAAGCTGGGCGCTAGCGGGAGGAGGGGGCGCAGCGGAGACGCTCCCGCGGCTCTCACCGCTAAGGCCAGGTCACGGCTGCGAGGTTCCTAGGCGCCTAAAGACGGGGTGGGGGCGGGGAAGGAAGGGGGTGCTGTGCGTGCGCGCGTGCGTATCAAAGCTAGAAGGGAGGGAACGCTTTAATATTTTTTTCCAGTGACTTACGAGCCCACGGGTGAGCCCTTGGCTGTGCGTTCAGGACCGTGTATCAGTGTGGCTATAAATTTCTGTTCTGCCCTATGTGTGAATGTCACGGGCTGGGGATCGGGGTGGGGGGTGGGGTGGGATTAACTAGAAACCAGCTTCTGAACATGCCGGTAGGTCTCGGAGGGACTGAGTGATGCAGTGGTTGCGTGGGGGTGGTGTTTGTGTGCGATTGTTTATAGGTGGTAGTGTGACTGCGTGGGCGGGGCTGCCTGCGTGGGCTGTGTTCCGAGGGCGTTGTGTATTCGTGTGGGCTTGTTTGCGACAGGGCTGGCTGCTGTGTAGGGCCACGGGACTGAAAAAGTACGGACATTGCGCCTGTGCGTGCTCTGGCCACACGCAGGGATCTTAGGCTGCCTGTGATCGCCCAGGGTCTGAAGCTTGGCAGGCAGAAGCTGACCCTAGAGAATCCCACAGAGGCAAAAATAGCTGTTTAAGGTGCGAACAAGTAGTGCTGGGGTTGGGGCACAAAAACGACGTGTGGGGGTTTGGGTGTAGGTGTAGACAGGTCGAGGGGGACCTCCATGACGAGCTTCCCTTCACTGCACAAGAACTGTACCGGGGAGATCCTGGCACTGACCGACCCCACAGACCTAGAGGTTCAGGGTTTGGGGAAGAGGGGCGGAGGAGGCGGCACTGGGCAAGCGTAGGGTATCCTGGGGGCAAGCGACGAGGGAGGTAGTGCCTAAAGATAGCCAGAGAATAAGATGAGACAAAGAAGACTGGGACTTTGAGGCTGGACCTCAGGAGGGGGTGGGCCCGCCACCTCGCAAATGGCAGACCTTTGGAACATGATGAAGGAAGTGCAGCACTTAGACTGAGTTTTGCTAACCAGCCCTTTTCCAAACCACTCCCTGCCCACGCGGCCATCCACCCACCCACTCCATCCATCTCTCCATCCATTCATTTATGCATCTGTACATCCATTCAAATATCCATTCAGGTTTTCCAAGTCAAGATCACCCAGATCACACTCCCCCCATAGCCTCTCCCTCCTCAGGAGGCACCTATCTGCTCCGTGGAAAGGAGCTTACCTTTTCCACACTTGGGGTCAGTAGTTGACACTGCTAAGCCCCACCCTGCACATACTGAAGTCTCCATACACCTTCTCATCCTACCCTGCCCATGGTGGTATGCCAACCAGGCTAGCAGGAAGGTGAGATGGTTTCCTCCCAGGCCTCCCTGCAACCTGGTGAAGCCTAGGAAGGAGTGTATGACGCCATTGTTGTACCTCCTGGTCCTTGTCCTGAAAGTCACCCCAAGCCTGCCACTGGAATGGGAAGATGCTTTAAAAATGGATCCCAAGTTGGGCATAAGGGGACTGACTTGGAATCCCAGCACTTGGGGGATGGAGGCAGGAATACAAGGCCATCTGCTATATTGCAAGTTTGAGGCCAGGCTGAGATACTTGAGACCCTCTCTCAGACAAAAAGAAACAACAAACCAGATGTCCTTATCAAGTGAATGTCCCGAGTGCACAGGTTGTTCCCTTTACTGGGAATCAGAATTGACAGCCATGCTTGGCATTTCTGAGTTTCCTCTGGCCCTACTATGCAATAAGGGACCTCCTTAGTGACCTGAGGAGCAGATCTCTGCCCAGGATGAAACTTAAAGGATAAGGTCCAATCTCCCCACCTTTGAAATGCAGGGATGCTTAAGTGTTGGTCTTCAGTGACCTGGCCTGGGACCTGTGTCACTCAGAGTCCTGAGGTGCTATGAGAACCAGAAGGCCTACTGTGGGCACCATCGAGTCTGGTGATACCAATACAGATCACTGCTGGGAACCACCAACAGCACTTCCTGACTTACCTACTCCTCTATGCAATCACTCACAAGGCCAAGATGTGCACAGACAAGATGATATGGACCCTGCTGGAGGGCTGAGGCTGACTTTCTTCCCTGCTTCTTAAATTTTATTTTTGTAATTAAAAAACAATTTAAGGGAGGAGAGGACAGGAGAGCTGGCCCATGGTTACAAGTACTGACTGCTCTTCCAGAGGAAAGGGTGGGGCTGGGGTGTTCAATTCCAAGCACCCACATGGAGGCTCATCACCATCTGTAACTCCAGTTCCAAGGGTTCAGACATGCTCCATCCATGTAGTATACATACATACATACATACATACATACATACATACACACACACACACACACACACACACACAGAGGCAAAAACCTCATACACATACAATAAAAACATGAAACTTAAATTTTATTTTATGCATGTAGGTGTTTTGCCTGCATGTATGTCTGTGCACCATGAGATGCCTGGTGCCTGTGCAGATAAGAAGAGGGTGTTGTTGGATCCCTTGGAACGAGTTAACAAGATGGTTTCAAGCCACTGTGTGTGACTGGGAACCAAGTCCAGGTCCTCTGGCTGAGTCACCTTTCCAGTCCTCCTCCCCTAGTCTGACTCTTCAGTGTTTCCAGTGGCTGATGGTCACACAGGCCCTTATGAGTTTCCTGATGTCATATCCTACCCCTGGCCTCATTACAGTGCCCTTCTTACTGTACATGCTAGCCTGGAACACCTTCCCACTTCTAAGTAACATGTAATTTCCCTGTTTATTTTGTAGATGGCTTTCCTGGTTGTTCCTTGGTGTGTCCTCTACTGACAGGTTGGTGCCTGGTAGACATTCAGTAAGTGTTTGGTGATGAATGATGATGATAAATGAGTGAGGTTAAACAGGCCCTCCATCTGTGACCTTGATTCAGTCCATGGCTTCTCTGTGAACTAATAGCCACTGGGGGGGGGGCAGTGCTAGAAAGACTTGGAGTTCAGTCAGGCTACATAACTCACCTAGCCATAAGTACTCTTCAAGATCCCTGAGGGTCTAAAGGAATGAGGTAGTGCTTGGTGGCTTGTCCCCAAGAAAAGAGGAGTACTTATTTGTTCTGGGGCCTCTCTGCTCAGTAGAGATCCCAAATAGAAAGTTCAAGAGAGGCTGTGTTCACTTCTGCCCAGTGCAGTATCTGGTATGTGGTATTCACAACTCAATGTGTATTTATAAAGTGACAGTCAAGACTCACATTTAAAACTGCATGAGGGCTGGGAGGTGGCGCACATCTTTAATCCCAGCATTTGGGAGGCAGAGGCAGGCGGATCTCTGGATCTCTCTCTGATTTTGAGGACAGCCTGGTCTACAGAGCGAGTTCCAGGATAGCCAGGGAACACAGAGAAACTCTGTTGGTGGTGGGGGACACACCAAAAACCAAATAAAACTGCATGAGTCCAGCCTTTGGCTTGTCCCTAAGGCTGGTGGCAGAGCTCTGTGTGGTGGCAGGCAGCCCTGGCCTACAGCACAAGTCACTTTCCTGCAAGGGGTGGTCAAATGTAGGGCTACACAGTAGGAGGGTTCCTGTGTCCCCAGCCTCAGACTTCACCTCCCACTAAGTGAGTCCTGCCTGGGGACAGCAGAGTGGTGGACCCTACTGAGTTGGGAAGTTTTACGGGTGCTTCCCATGAGGGGTGGTTCCTGGAGCAGGCTGACCAGCCAGCCTCATAGTTGCCTATGGCTATCTGAACAGCTGCTTTATTGCACACTGAGAGGGAAGCTGGAGAGCAGTGGAAAGGCTGGGGACTTGAGCAGGAGCACAGAGAAGTCTGGGGCAGTAGGGTGGGGTGAGGGGACATGACACAAAGGACAAGACCACCAGGGACGGGGTTAGCCAAGGGACACTTAGGCAGACACAAAAGGAGAAGGACATGGACCCATCCAACCAAGATAAGTAGGTGTCAGGAAATTCAGAAGTCAAGTTCAAACAGCCCTGGGCTGATAGCTTCAGGCTAAAAGTCTGCAAGCCTGGCCTCAGAAGTCAGCCTGGTTGCCGTGCTCGGGTTTTACATGTATTCTACATATATAGCCTCTCCATTTCAGGGACTGGGTCACCAACATCCAGATGATAGCCTTAAAACTTCCAGGTGACGCTAGGCGGTGGTGGCACACTCCTTCAATCCCAGCACTCTGATGGATCTTTTCGAGTTCAAGGCCAGCCTGGTCTACAGAGTGGAATCCAGGACAGGCAAAAAAAAAACAACAACACTTCCAGGTAGCAAAAGTGTTCATCTACTAGTTGGGTAGATATGAGCTTAGTACCTACTGTGTGCAGTATCTACAGCAAGAAATGAGACAATGATTCAATGATTCTGTTTTCCTCCTAAGGCAGGCATGGAACAGAATGGAGAAGTAATTGATGTACAACAACATAATTCATTCTGAGAAATACATCATGCAATTTCATTGTGCCATCATAGTGTCCTTACACAAACTAAGACGTATCTGCAAACGACACTAGGAGACAATCTTAGGAATCTCTGTGGTACATGCAATCTGCTACTGACTGAAATGTTAAGTGGTGTCTGACTATAGTTACGTTACTCTTTGTTTGCTTTTTGAGACGGCCTGCCCCCCCCACTCCCCCCACCCCCACCCCCCACCCCCGCCGAATGCTGGGATTAAAGGCAGGTGCCACTACCGCCCAACTAGTTATGTTACCCTTATGTGCTAAGAAGATAGAGAGCCAGGGAAGGCGTGGGATGGGAGCTATGTTTTTATATTGAACGCCAGGGAATCCAAGGCTCAGGTCATAATTGAAAGGCTGTGTGGTGAACATTCGATAACCAGAGGAAAGCTGCAGGTGAGATGGTGAGCAAAGGTCCTGAGGCAGGAGAGCTTATGGCTATACTTGAGAGAGACCAAAAGGGACAAGGCCACACCCCAAGGACACAGTACTCCATTGTAACGATTTCTGTTTTACAGTGAACACAACTGGGGGAATCTTCGCAGTGTTTCAAGCCTAGGAAGGACAACCCATGGCCGCCATGAAGAGATTCAGTGTGGGGCCAGGGAAGCTGAAAGCAGGGCTAACGGGACTGGCTGAGCAGCTAACAGAGCTTCTGTGATCTGCTGTCCATGCTGAACCCAGAGCAGCTTCACACCCGGGCATGGGAACCTATCCCTCAGGAACCATCAGCCAAAGCCTTCATGATGCCCCTCCCACCTGTTAATTACCTTCCTGCCATCTGTAACTTCATCATGCCAAAGAGGTCTCTTCTCATCCATTAACTGTCCTGTGAGTGAATGGTCTTCTGCCTGGGTCCAACATGGATAACCTGTTACCTTCCCTCTTCCGAGCTCCAATATCATTTATGAGTACATCAACCCAGGTTAGCTATCAGACCTCCCTCGGTGTAGATCTGATGTGTTCTCAAACCGACCAAGCTAATCTACTGCCATAGCTCTGCTTTGCCATTTACCTGTGGAGTACACTTGGCATGCCAGTGGCATGGAGTGGTGTAGGCATTCACTGCCAGCCTGTGCCTTACTGTCCACATTAGAACCCTCTGCCACATAGCACTCCTTAGGGGAGGACAACATGTTTCTCTTTGAAAGCAAAGAACTTTGTATCTCAATTGGTGGTGATGCCACTGGGAATGTGGGCATCCCAATTCATAGTTTGTGGGAAATTTTCAAACAGTCCATGTGGTCCCTAGCCCACCTTCCTCTCCAGATCCCACAGGCTGACAGTGGGGATCAGAAAACCAGCTGGGTACCTAGGGCTGGTGCTGGCAAAAACAAGGTAGAAGGCTGCCCAGATGACCATTGCTCCCACTTAGGGACAGAAATGCATCTCTGCCTCTGCCCTAGGCTGGTGGGATCTCTGATGTAAGTGAAAAAGCAGGGATCAGCCTAGAGCAGGCTCTCTCCAGCCGTCTTCCCTCTCAGCTGACTCTGATCTCCATCTGTGGTTCTCCCTACCATCTGTCAGTCTGTCCAACCTTCCTCACTAGCCTGCTGAGGTCACCAGGGGCAGCCAGTGCCACTCTAGGCTCCTACAGAGCAAATCCTAAAACAAAGCCTCTCAATCTAACCCTAAGGAACTCTAGCTGCAGCAAAAGCATCACTTCTGAACCCAGAGTCACTTCCTGGGGAGTCGAAGGTGATCTCTCCATTTAGGGTCTTAGCAGTGCTTCCGGGGTGCAGGTGCTTAACTTTTCTTCTATCACAGGCCTGAGTGAACTTCTAGAAGCCTCGAAACTTATTTGGTTGGGGCCAGTCGTACAGAGGCCTGGAGGGAAAGGAGGAAGCCATCTGGGCTGTCGCCATGGCTAGACCCGGAGGACAGCCTCACTAGGCCACATATGTCTTTATCACAGCTGGAATCCAAACCCGGGGATGTGCAGGGAATTCAGAAGGGGCCTACTGCCTAGGTAAGAGAGAGGAGCCCCTGCCCACCCGCAGTCTCCACTCTGGCACTTCGGCCACGGTTCTGCCACCCCTCCTCTGCTCCCTGCCTTCCTCTCCCTCTCATTGGCTCTCAGCCTCCCTCCTGCATCACCTAGCTGGTCTTCCTTTCCAGCTATCCAAACCTCCTATCTTTCCCCTCATATTCCAAAGAGCTTGTTCCTCCACCTCTAAGCCTCACCTGCAGTTTGGAGGCTTCCAGAAGAAAAAATGAGTGTCTGTATCAGGAAAGCACTGTCAAGACCTATGTGCAATGGCTGCTCAGAAACCAGCACATGAACACACCACCTGGGTTGGGTTAGGCTGGGCACCTCACCTGGATGCCACTCGGCCCCAGGTGCCCAAGAATGGGAACAATGATGATGCCAGCCTCTGCCTTTCTTCGGGGCCCAGGGAACTGAGGACAGTACCAAGTCTAGGATGGTAGGCCAAGTCCTGGCCAGGCCTCTTAAGGCCTGACAACAGTCACAGACTTTGGGGGGAGGGGGATGGAGAAGACTTGGAAAGAACTGAAGAGATGGTATAGCCAAACTCATCTCACAGCGGGCTAGACGCCTGGGCTCAGCCATGTGAAACAGTAGCAGGCTACAAGCAGAAGCCTCGGAGGTGGAAAAACTCTGATGCACAGAGATATGTACAGGAGTCTACCTAGATATGGCACATAAAAACCAAACCAAAACAAACAAACAAACAGCAGAAGATGGTATGGTGACATACCTGTGTAATTTCAGCACTTGGGAGGCCAAGGTAGGAGGATTGCTACAAGTCTGAGACGAGCCTGGGCTATAAAGTGAGTCTCTGTCAACAAATAAAATAAATATGGCATGTGCAGTCAGGACATGCAGACTCCTCTACTGTAAAGAATGGTGTACCTTATACATACACAGGTGCCACCCATCTGCCTTCACACTGCTGCTCTCAGGATCAGAGTCCCTTGACTTGTGGGCCTCTCTGGATGGCTCAGGACCTCTAGCCTCCTTTGATCTGTGGCAACAGGAATGCTCCCTATGGACTTCTCCCGGCCCCAGGGCAATGAGGACTTCCTGGAGACTGGGAGGACAAGGACACAGGGAAGAACCCTCACAGAGCCTGCTTCTGGGGACTAGGCCAGAGAGCTACTTGAACCTGCAGAGATTTAGATTACCTCCAGGAAGGAATGATGGGTGATCAAAACTGACCCTGGTGTGGCCTTCCGAAGGCAGAGGCAGGAGGATTGCCAGCTCTAGGCCAGTCTAGGCTATGCTGCAAGGCTGTGTTGAAAACAACCAAACAACAAACACAGAAACCTGACCCTTGGTTCCGCATGTTCAAAGCCCTGGGTTCAGTTCCCAGTACCATAAAAAGAATCTGTCCCTGGAAGGTCAGACAGAGTTCCTGAGGAGGACTTTCATAGTCAGCTGTGTGATGATCTACCACAAATCTGGGAAGAGGAGAAAGAGATCAGGATGTCTGTTCCAGTTTTCTGCCCAGCTTAGCTTCCTCCAGAATCTCCTGGGTTGAGTTCAAAGGAAAGGTAGTTGAGGCCAGTGAGATGGCTCAGCAAGTAAAGGTGTCTGCAGCCAAGCCTGAGGACCTGGGTTCAATCCCCAGATACACAAGGCAGAGCGAGAACCAACTCTGCACAGTACAAGGGTGATTTTTTTTTTTAAAGGAAGGGTGACATGCAGAGCTGGTTGCCCACTCTGCCAGACATCCCACATAGGACCTCACAGCAAACTTTTGAGGCATATGTTCAGAGTCCTCTAGAGCAATGTTGAAACTGCAGCTTGGAGAACAGAAGAGACATCGGCCTAAGTGACTGGGAGGCTGAGCCTCTCCCGGAAGGCTCCAAAGGCTCCAAAAAAACGTAAAGCATGGTCTCTTCTGTTAAGGCCAGAAATACAATGGCACTGCTGTCTCTCCCTAAATGCTGGTGACACTCTTGAAAAGAGGCCACTCAAGCCTACCTGGCTGAGGTGAGAATACAGCTCCTAGGCCCTTAACTGCAGAATGGACAGGGCAAAGAACCAAGTCTGCCAGCCATGTTTCTCCCAGGTCTGTTTCTCACTCTAAGGCTGTTAGGCCTTTGATTTGGATATGGTTGAGTCCCTCCCAACTCATAAAGGAATTTACCCCCTGGTCTCCAGTTGTGATGTTTTGAAGGAGCTTGGCCCCCACAGGCTCATATATTTAAATGCTTGATCCTCAGTAAGGAGAACTATTTGGGAAGGATTAGGAGGTGTGGCCTTGTTGAAAATGGTGTGTTACTAGAGATGGGCTTTGAGGTTTCAAAAACCCACACCATTCCCAATTAGCCTGGTGCTTGTGGATCAGATGTGCGCTCTCAGCTACTGTTCCAGCCATGCCTGTCTGCCTGCTGCCATGCTATCCACCATAATGGTCATGGGCTCACCCTCTGAAACTGTAAGCCAGGCCCCAGTAAACTCTTCTATGAATTGCCTTGGTCATGGTGTCTCTACATAGCAATAGAAAAGTAGCTAAGACACCTGGCAATTGCATGAGGAAATGGAAACTTAATCCCACTGTGGCATTTGGAGGTGGAGCCTTTGAGAAGTGTTAGGTTTGATTAGATCAATGGAATAAAAGTCTCATGATTGTATCCTGATGTCTTTATAGAGAGATAAGAAAGAGGCCAGAGCCAGAGATAGACGCACTGCCACCGTGCCGATATACCAGGGCCTGTGCAATGCTCTTTGGGTCCTGTACTTCCCGTGGGCTCAAAACAAACCTCCATTTTTTTTTTCATTTTTTTATTAAGAAAAATTTTTATTTTCATTTTACATACCAAAGATCCCCCTCTTCCCTCCTCCTGCACAAACCTCTATTAAAGTAGCCCACCTCATATATCATGTTATGGTAATGAAAAGTTAATATACTTCTCCAAATATGTCAGTATGGAAACCTAAGTTCATTGTGTTCCTAGACCTCAGTTTCTTTACCTTTAAAATGGGAAGAATGACAGGGAATTCATCATGTAAAGGATGAACAGAAATTAGTCACCACTGGGTTTGCCATGTCATGAGACCTCAATAAATGCCACTCCTGACAACCGTCATTTCCTCCTGCTCTGTGAGATCTGAGTTTTCCATCTGAGCTCAGTATCGAATTCCAGTTTTGTGGTGATGGTCTGAACACTGACTTTGGAAACCCTGTTTAACTGTGCTTTCAAGTCAAAAGCTACTATACTTGGTCCCAATGCTGAGTGACTACCAACACATGCTCTGGGCTACAGTGTCTATCTTTTCAAATGGCCACTGGAGGCCCTTTGATCAGGCCAGAAACTGGGGTTCAAAGGGGCTAAAGCTGAGAAAGGTGGCAGCCAGGGTGAGATTCTACCTCCAAATAAGGAAGAGCCTGCTTACTGGCAGAGCTGCCCAGAAATGGAAGGTGCAGGCAGCAACTGTGGAGAGTGTGAGTGGCCTGTGGAGGAAGCCATGTAAGCAGAGAAGGCTGCAGCTGCCAGAGCTGGGCACCATCAGAGGGGACTGACGGCAGCCAGGGCCTCCGGACACCACTGCAGCCACACAGGGGCAGGAGTGGATCCCAGAGCGCCAGAGCTGGGCCAGGGCAAGCACTGCTGCTCCAGGGTCTCACACAGCAGGCCCCTCCTTAGTGCACAGAATATGTATTTTTCTAGAGGAGTTTTTTGAGGAGGAAGTACACAAAGTAGAAAGAAAACAAAGGTTCCAAGCCGCTCTCACTCTGTGAATTTCTGTCAACTCTTTTGGGTCATTTCTTCTACAAACTTCAATTTGGGTTAGAAATTTTCATCACTAAAATGCCTTCAACTGAGATGTAGTTCACATAATCACTTCTTCAAGGGCTAGGATGTAACAGTAAAAGAACATGTGTGCAGTTTGCATGAGACTCTGGGTTCGATCTTCAACACTTCAAATAAAATTCCCAAGTCAAGAAAGGTTTGGTTCATCCACAGAGTTGCTCAACTATTCTTGCCATCTCATTTCAGAATGCTACCTGGTTGTAGTTCAGGTCTCCTCCCTCCCCCAGCCCAGGCCAAAGTCATCCACACTCTACACACTTGCCTGCTCTAGACCTTTCTTTCTCTTTATATCTTTTGATAGAATTTCTTTATTTAAAATCTTGTGAATGCAACAAAAAAATACATAAATAAATAAAACTAGAGCATTACTAGTGCATTCTTTGATTTTTAAAAAATATTTTTATTAATTCTTTTGAGGATTACTTAAAATGTGTTTTAATCGCCGGGCAGTGGTGGGTGCGTGCCTTTAATCCCAGCACTCGGGAGGCAGAGGCAGGCAGATCTCTGTGAGTTCGAGGCCAGCCTGGGCTACAGAGTGAGTTCCAGGACTCTGTTTTAATCATATTCACCTCATTTCTCTTCCTAATTCCTCCAAGATTCATCCCTCTCTCCTCATTCCCTCCCAACTTTTTTTTTTTTTTAAATAACAAACAGAGTCAAACGTGTGCTAGCCATATACTCACGGGTGTGGGACCATACATGGGAGCTTAGGTGACCTATCAGAGGGCCATACCCTTAAAGAAAACCGAGTCTCCTTCCTCCAGAAGCCATCTTCAGTAGCTCCTCAGTTAGGGGAAGGGCTCATGAGCCTCTCTTCCCCTTCCATACTGGAGTATCAATTGGCTTGATCTTGCCCAGGTCTTAAGAGGCCACAATAGCGGGGAGGTCATGAATTATCCTATCACGTTTTCCTAGACATTTCTATGGCCTTTCACATCCAGCACTGATGTTTTGTTTGTTTAAGACAAGATCTCACTATGAATCCTTGGCTGACCTATGCAAAGATCCGCCTGCTTCTGCCTCCCGAGCGCTGGGATTAGAAGCGTGCGCCACCACCCCTGGCCACGGTCCTGCTGTCTTGTTGTTGCTGAGTTTGGGTTTTTGAGGCGTGTCTCTGCACAGCCCTGGCTGTGCCCGACTTAAGCATTAGTATTTCTGATGTACGCTTTCAATGTCTTTTTCACCAAGCATTATGCACTCACCGTTTCTATGGGCCCCAAGGCTTCCCTTATGCTGGGTATTTACAATTATAGGGGTTTGGTTCTTTCTGTTTGGTCATTGGTTAGTTTGGAGAACCCTCCCCACCAAGTCCCATACAGCCCAGACTGGCCTCATACTTACTGTGCAGCTGAGGACTCTGAACTCCTGATTCTCCCTGCTCAGTCTCCTGAATGCCAAGATTATAGGCATGCACAATCCCTGACTCCAAGGAGAGATTTTACACCACAGTTTACTCAATCGTAGTGACACCCGTCTCCACCCCCACTGTAGACATCCCGGATGGAGGCCCTCCTTGACCTCCTTGCCCCTTTTAAAGACTTTATGGCAGCCACACAGTCTGCATAACAGAAGTCCTATCTTCTCCTTGCTTACTCAGAACCTTCCATGGTCCCTATCCCCTATGTGTTATGCACTCTGCATGTGGGGTGCTGCCAGGGCAGGGGAGGCCAGGATGGTAGGGTCCACTGTCACCTCCTCCATGTTTGTGAAGGACAAATAGTGAACTTGGAATAACATACCAAGTGTAGTGGCCTCTCCTCCTCCCAGTGTCTGCCGGTCCCCCTGCTCCAGTCACACTAGCCTCCGTGTGGTGCCTTGCACACACCAGTGTAACCCCTCAGGGCCTTGGTTCTGGCTTCCATTCTCCTAGAGTGGACTTCTAACTCCTCTGTTCTGCAGGCCTGCTTTTTCTTTGTAACACTCACCACTTGACACATCTGTCTATTGCCTTGTCTCGAGCTGAACTGGAAGTCCTAGGGAACACTATCTCACTCACTCATGTCCTCAGCACCTAGCAGAGTTGGAGCTCAGCTTGGTAACTGGGCAGTTTATGCAATATGATAGACGTCCATGAAAACTCTAAGCATCCAAACACTGGACCCTGGCAGTCCTCTACCTGCAGACACATGGCAGCTCCAGCCACAACCTGCATTTTAGTAGTTGAGATGGTATTTGAGTCAGGAGAGATCACATGAAATCCAAACTTCATTTCCACAGAAAGCACGGATGTGGTCACATAGGGCAATACACCTGCAGGACCACCATCAGCAGGCCCTGAAAGGGTGGCCCGGAGACAATGAATTCCAGGGAGACCCCTGTTTCCTCGACTGCTGCTGCTGCTGCTGCCATTGCCCAATGGTCCTGGATGCTCTCCAACTGCTGTGCCCTCCCAGCATACTAAGCTCTGCTGCCATAGGCAGTAGGCACTTTCTTCATCCCATGGTTTCCAGGGTCATACATATGTGCTCTTGAGAGGGGATGGCGACAGGCCCCCTCGGTCCCAGCCTGACCTGTAGCAGAGCCTAGCAGCAGGTTCTTAGCTGTGTGGTAGTAAGTTCCATCTGCACAGGGGCTCGGAGGAAGGAGGGTCTATTTGGTTCACATTGTTGTAAGCTCCATCTGCACAGGGGCTCGGAGGAAGGAGGGTCTATTTGGTTCCCACTGGATGCCAACAGGTGCTTGTTAGTCACCCACTGTGTGTCGGGGGACAGAGATGCTCAGCCTGTGCACAGCCGTGTGACAGTGGAGAAGCAGACCTAGAAGGGCAGGGGCTGAAACCCAGATGAGCTGTGTAGCACACACACCACTGGGAAGGACGGCCTCCTTTCAGGCCAGGGCTCCCTGTCCCAGGCCTCTTAGGCCCCTCCCCCAGCCTTGTTTCCCCTAGAGAGGTTTCCAGTACAGCACACTCAGGATTTTGCTGCATTCCTGTGAGTCATTCTCCAAACAAACCGTGTGATGGAGAGAAGGGATCTGGGGAGGGGGTGGGGAGATGGAGAAGGAAATAAGACCCCTCCTCCCTCCCATGTACACAAGGGCTCCCTGGGAGAGCTTGAGCAGCAGGCTGGCTTTTTTTTTTTTTTTTTTTTTTTTTAAAGAGAGTCATACTATGTAGCCCTGACTGACCTGGCACTCACTATGTAGACCAGGCTGACCTCGAAATCACAGAGATCCACTGGCTCCTGCAGGATTAAAGACATGTGCAACTACACTGCCCCTGGTTGGCCATTGTGAGCAGAGAACTTGCTGAGCGACCTAGGAGACCTTAGCTCTCTCTGGGTCTCTGGAGAAAATGACAACAAAGTCTGTGCCTGTGAGATGCACAGGTTTCCATGGGG